GGCGGGCGGCGGGGGATGGGGGCCGGGCCCGGCTGAGCCGCACGGGAGCAGCTCGGTACCGGGGCCTCCCCGCTTCTGAAAAACGGGGGTGGATGGGGGCTCGGGTGCGTTTCCCCACACGGTTTTCACCCGCAGCGTGGAATGCCGCTGCCCTGGTACTTCAGAGCCGGTACCGGTTTTTCTTACTTATTTATTTTTAACGCAGGCTGTTGCATTTCTTATTTTAGATGAGCCTCGGTTTTCACCAGCGTTGTGTCCGTGAGTTGAGGCAAAACTTAATGCTGCACTGTCAAATTACTCGCATTCTTGTTTTTATACTTCTCGGTGATAAAGCCGAAAGCGTGGTGAGGTATCGCCTTCCCTAAGCGCAGCCCAGAGCAGCAGAGCCTTTATGGCCTTCTCCAAGAACAGCCAGCGAGCTTGAGCTCTTTGAAAGGTGTAGAGCAATCATTCTCAAAGGGACACTGTGATAACTTTTTCTGTTAGGCAGAAGATTATTCAGCCCTTATTTAGATTTTTTTTTTATATCTTTATTCTTCATGATATTTGATCCGTGCAGCCTGTGGACAATCTCCCTAAGCCTAAATCTGCAGCTGAATTTTGGATTTGCAATGACATTGGTTGACAGTGAAATTCCCTGCTGGCTGTGTGAAAAGGACTGCCCCCGATGGCTTAGGGGAAAAAAAACTACTCCCTTCCTTTTTGGCCTACTTGCTTGCTGTGTCCTGCTGATTTCTTCTTGCCTGTCCTGCTTATGTTCTTATTCATGCTGCTTTGCAGGAGGCTTGTGTCCCTGCGAAGTTCTTTATGGAGGCACTCTCAGCTTAGGAAACTTCTACCTTTACTACCTGGAGCAGCACAGTACTGCAGCTTGGGAAGTCCTTGGAAAAGAACGTCACTGGCAATCTTTTTTGGGGCTCAGGAACCTTCTCAGTGTGTAGCGAATTAGAGAGTGTGTTCGCTTATAGCGTGGAGTAAACTAATATCAAAATCTTTTAGAAATCCCGCTCTCCATGCTTAACAGATTCTCAGTTGGAAGCCAAGAATCATTTATTTTCAGATTGGTTTCTATGGATGGCAAGTAAGCCTTGCACAAAACAGAGACCAGACAGTAGGAAGGAGAATTTTAGTGTTGCTAAAAGTAAAGCATGCCAATGTCAGCTAACTATGTTCCAAATCTTCCAAGCAAATTTAAAGGCAAGCGATGTAATGAGGCATACAAACTTTCTCCCCTGTCCAAGCATGGTGATGTACACTGCAGATCATTGACAGTTGTCCTTCTGGTGGCATCAGTCTTGAAAGGATAATTTGATGGAAAATGTTATATTTTAAATATGCTGGCTATCAAAACAGAGAAGTGCTGACAGAGGCTGTGCAGAATATATTTTCAAATATGAGTTTGGGACAAAAGTGATCATAATCGAAGCTGTTTCTGTTCATAATATTGTTGTATGTCAGAACTAAGACTGATTAGTTACCTTAGCTGAGTTTTCTTTCCCAAAAGGTGTGTTTTCTTTAAATTCCTCCTTATCTGGGATTTCATGGGTTTGAATTGCTTGTTTTTGGTAATTTGGGAAATTGAAACGTCTCTGTAACTGTTTACCACACATTAATATGTATTTCGATGTTTACTTAATTGCTAAATAATTATCACCGACATAAGG